GGGCGGGAGTGGGGCAACACGGGGGTGAGGGCCTCCCCCAGCCCTGACGAGTCTCCGTAAGGATGCTCGGCCCACCCCGCTGGCCCTAGAAGGAAATAGGCGTGATCACACACCCCACTCTCAGACCAGCCTGGGACGTCCCTCTCACTCTCTCACCTCATCCTAGTCCCCTTTCTGTCCATTTTCTCTGAGCTAAGTGTTGGAGGCTTATACTGTCTACATCACTGCTGGGAATGTCTGTAATACCCAGGACCACCTGCCCTCCGCACAGTAGCAGCCCTTCAACCCCTCTCATCTCCCTGCCCAAGCTCTGCAGGGAGTCATGGGAGAGCAAGATGAACCTAGTTGTCAGTGTAAATGTGAGTTCTTCTGCCCTCCAAACACTGTGGTCATTAACAGATGGCCACCAGCCTCTCTAAGGCTATTGTTCCCTGAACACATGACCCTTCCACCCTCTGACACAGGCTGTCTGTCTGTGACACCTGACCATCTCCACCTCCCTCAGATGTTCCAGCACATGATGCAGAAACGGAAGCACGTCCAGTGGACATACGGGCCTCTGACCTCCACTCTCTATGACCTCACGGAGATCGACTCTTCTGGGGATGAGCAATCCCTGCTGGAACTCATTGTCATAACCAAGAAGTGGGAGGTAGGGGGTTGTCACAGCAGAAATGCTGGCCAGAATGCCAGCGTGCAGGGGCTGCCTGACCTATTCTTTGTGCTGCAGGCTCGCCAGATCCTGGACCAGACACCAGTGAGCTTCAAGTGGAAGCTGGTGAGCTTCAAGTGGAAGAGGTATGGGCGGCCCTACTTCAGTAAAGTAAAAATGGAAATTCCAAACACTGGAAGGCATATAACAATGCTGTATAGGGCCAGGGATTTAGCTCAGTGGTTCTGCATCCTGCCTTGCCAGTACAAGGTCCTGAGTTTGATCCCTGGTACAAAAAAAACCAAACAAACAAAAACAAAACAAAACAAATCAAAAAACGATGCTGTATAGAACACAGATTAAAACCTGAGCTGGATGAAAGGAATTTTTTTCAGGGAAATATTTTCTCCATGAAAATATATTACCATTAGATTTTTACATAGGATGTTTATACTTATAAATTTTTGTTATGTACAGCAAAAATATTCTGAGATCTTTTGAGTCATTTCCTATTTACTCTGCATTCTCCCTGTCACCTTGGAGCAAGGACTCCCCTACTTCCCAGGAGTGTCTCCTGCACCCACCTGCACCCCAGCCCTATCCTGCCTGGCTTTGTCATGCATAAAAACTATGAGGCTGGAGTCTCATTAACTCTGTCCCATGGGAAAGTCTAAATACACTTCACTTCACTGTTCCACATCAGTTTTGCTCATTGGTGAGTCCAGAGAAGGAAAGTCCAGGATCACATGATTTAGGATGCACTGGGAGGTGTAAGGTGAGTGGGCGCAAGAAGGTCAAAGTCAGGTCAAGGTTCTTCAGCTTTCTTAGAGATTGCAAGTACTCTCTCTGGGTTTCCTGAACTCCAGCCCCAAGATCCAGCCTTGTGCCACGAGGTCCGATCAGCCTGCAGGGAGTTGGGCTTGCGGATCATCTTGTCCAATGCAGCCACCAGCTGGTCAAAATTAGGCCTCTGGGCACAGTCTTTCTGCCAGGTGTCCAGCATCAGCAGATGTAGTCTGGGAGGGCAGCCTGGAGGTGGGGGCAGCCGGAGATCCCTCTCTATTGCATTTATGACCTGGGGATCAGTGAAACCATAGGATGGTGGGAAATGATTCCTAGTAGAGGGCAGTGCTGGGAGAGAGCATGGGATGGAATCAAGGGATGCATGAGGCAGAACACTGTGCCAGCCATGAGATTTTAGGAGGAAGATCTTAGAATACATGCACCTAGGAGGGATGGGGTGGAGAAAGCAGCACCAGGGTCAAGTGCTCACCTCTTCCTCACTCATGTCCCAGTAGGGGCGTTCTCCATAGCTCATCACTTCCCACATGAGTACTCCAAAGCTCCAGATGTCACTGGACATTGTATACCTTCCATGTGCAATGACCTCGGGGGCTGCCCAGCGGAGCAAGCAACTTGAACTCTGAGAGATGGAATCAAAAGCAAACTAGTCATAATCTTACCAAGAGTCACATTCACTGAGTCTGTGCTCAGATGTGTGTTGAGAGTTTCACCTTAGGCACCCTATTAATGCTCCCAATGATCGGATGTGGAAGCTGAGGCATGGAGAATATGAACTGGTCTAGGCCTGAAGTGTCAACACTGCCCAGCTGTACTGTGCCTTTTGACCTTAGGGAGCTGGCAGGAGCTGGTGCTGGAGCTGTGCAGTTCTTCTGCCCACCCTGGTCCCTTCTCTCTGCCTCAGTCTCTGAAATCCTTCAGTTGCCCCTTGCCCCAGCTTCTCTCCTTTCTCAAGCAGGTGAGCCTCCAGTACCCAGACACTGAGACTCCCATCCCAGGAACCCACCCCAGGTTCCAGCTCATGCTGTGGCACCTGCAGAGGATGCTGAGTCCCCAGACTCCACACTCACCTGAGGACTGTGGCCAAGACGGGCCACCTTGCACACCAGGTGGCTGTTCACCAGCACACTTCGGGCAGTGAGTGCTCGGTGCACAAAGGCGAAGCTGGCCAAGTACTGCATTGCATCGGCCACTCCTCGCTGCATGGCCACAAGCTGCAGGTTGCTGAAGTGGCCTTCCCGCTCCTGAGGGGCAGGGTGCAGAGGTCAGCTCCAGGATCAGGAACCTGGACATGCTGCCCAGCACACACTGTCATGAGAGGCAGGTGGGGGCAGATGGCAAATCTGGAAAGCAGAACATGTCCTGGGAAGGAGGATGAAGCCCACCATGGAAGGTGAGGCGGGAGGGAGCCAAACTAGAGGGCTATGTCTCCTGGAGGAGGTAAGAACCCCAAGCTTTCCTGCCCCCAAGGACCCTCCTCCAACCAGGCTGGACTGACCCTGAGAAAGCTGTCCAGGGGCCCAAGTTCCATGAGCTCCGTCAGCACCATGAAGGGCCAGCTCTTGGTGACCACTCCCTCCAGCCGCAGGATGTTGGGGTGCTGAAACTGACCCAGGAGGGCAGCCCGGCCCAGGAGGGTCATCTGCAGGCTCTCAGTACCCCCAGTCCACAAGGCCTGGATGGCTACAGCTTGCTCACACTGTCCCAGGGGCTGCAGGCGGCCCCGACACACTTCTCCAAAGGAGCCTAGGCGTAGGAATGCAAGGTGGTGTCAGTGAAGCCTGTTTCTAGAGGAGCCCTGGCCTAGGAAGCCAGAGAGGGATCCTCAGGCTCTCCTGGGCCCTCCTTGTCCCTGCAGTACCTGCCCCAATGACCTCCTCGATCTTGATATATGCAGGGTCGACTTCTCGGGTGAGTTCTCGGATGGCCTGGCAGGGGTCCTCATGAGTAGAGGGGTCAATATAGTACTTTACCCCAGGCCCTGCAGGGTAAGGGGTGCTATGAGAGAGGCTGCAAAGGCCAGGTGCCCACACAGCCAGGCATGCCCCCTCACCTCCAGGAGGCAGCATCAAAGGCCCCCATCAACCTTGCCCAAGTCCCCCAAACCCTGTCCAGGACCCTCTCACTGCCCCCACCTGGGCTGCTGTACTGCTGCAGCTGTTCTGCACAGCCTGTCCCACGATGCCTCCTAAGGGACAAACCATCATCCTGGAATGATGAACCTATTTCTACCCTTTGCTGCCCACCTCGACAATCCTGCTAGGGAGACTGCTCCCCAGCCAAGTCCAGAGGAGGGAGGGACACTCCCAGGCTGCTCCTCCCCACCTCTGCATGGGCAGGGTCTGGGCCATGGGAGAAGGATGTCTGTCAGGACAGGAATGGTGGCAGGGTATTGAGCAAGAGTGCCGGGGGTCCTCACCTTCGGAAGATAACAGCTAACACAGTGACAGGCACCAGCAGGAAGAAGGCAGTATTGAGCAAGAGTGCCGGGGGTCCTCACCTTCGGAAGATAACAGCTAACACAGTGACAGGCACCAGCAGGAAGAAGGCCAAGGCCCCCAGGATGGAGCCTATCACCAAGGACAGCTTTTCTGGGAGTGGGGAGGACAGCTCACCTGAGGGACAATACCTGGGTCACAGGGGTCAGGCTTTTCACCCATGAGGGCACATGTATGCCACACAACACTACACAGCACAAACACTCCTCAAGGCACATAGATATGCAGCACAGACACAGGTACATGACTGTCTCAGACCCCATATACACATACACACAGCTACACACAGACACACACCGCAAAATCCACAATACACCCACACACAGGTACACCGGGCAGGCACACACCCCAAAGCCCACATTCCCTAGCACCTGCAACAGGCACTAGTGCAGCAGGAGAGCATAGCCTTACACTGCAAATCAAAGCTCCCTGGGAGCCAACAGAGGGCTTGGGTGCCTAAGGGTCAAGCAGGGGCACAGCAAAGAGGGCAGAATGGTATGAAGTGATCAAAGAAATAAGCTCAGGAGGGTGGATGGCCCAGAGTGAGGAGAGAAAGAGCAGGAAGGAGAGCCAGAAAGTGGAGGAGGCAGGAAGTAAAAGGGAAAGGGGTGGAGATGAAAGAAGGACACCAAGGAAACAATAGAAAGACAAAATCAACTTTTTGTTTTATATCCCCCACTTCCGGTACCACCCCTGGGTCTTTTCCACGCTGGGCTAGTGAGGGACTCACCAGTGCAGGGAGCATCTGGTGGGTCAGAGCTGGCCCTGTAGAAGCCCTGAAGACAGGAGCATATGGGGGCTGCAGGGTCAGGGGCCTGGCTGCGGGCAGGGCACGGTGAGCAGGGAGTATTCCCAGCTGAGGCCTTATAGGTCCCTGCAGGACAGGCTGAGGAGGCAGAGGAAAAGGGTGCATCACACTCACAGCACCTACACACCCTGAGCTCCCAGTGCCCCTGCACAGAGACCTCTGCTGCTCAGAGTGGATCCTCTTTCCTTCCTAAGAGCTAATCCCCTGCTCCCCATTCCCATCTCTTCCCAGGAGCAGAAAGATTTTCTGTGAGTCACTGGAGCAGAAAAGAGGCTGTGGGATCTGTAGGTGGGGCCAACCCAGGTGTGGGTGTCCCAGGCTGGGTTACATAACCCCATTCTGCAGTCATTATTCTTAGCCATTTCCATGGCCACCTCTGCCTGCTTCCCAGCCACATGGACCTCCAAGAATCTCTGCTCAACCAGGTGGCAAAGGGCAACAGAGGGTCCTACCCAATAACCTAGGAGCTTAAGTTTCAGTAGCCATCACTTCTTAGCTTGCAGCCCTGGGATCCTTAGCAATTGCTGTGGAAGGATCCAGAACATTCCAGATAATTTCAGATGAGTGAGCACTTGTGTGCCTCAGAAAATAAAATTGGGGAACACAGGTCCTTTGTGAAGATGGGTTATTTCTGAATTTGGAGGACAAAACGAGGTTTCGGGTGTTTAGGAGAGGAAGCCAAGGTCAGAGGAAGGTGAAAAGTGCTAGGCAGATGCCAGGAAGCGGGCTCTCACCTTGGCAGGCCTTGTCTCCATGTGCAGGCTGGTGTCCTGGCTGGCAGTGGCAGCCCCCGACGGCGACCATCCACTTGCCTTCCCCATTGCAGTACAGCCTGGGGGGGCTGCCCCCAGCTGGGCCCCCAACTCCGTCTTCCTCCGGCTTTGCGTGAGCCACACAGGTGCCCACTGCTGCCACCAGGGAAGCCCCTCCAGCCCCACTGGCCTGTGTCTCAGGAAAGGAGGCAAAGGCCCGCAGCACGGGGGCGCAGCTGTAGGAGAAGAGCTTCACAGCCACCAGGGCCAGGCAAGCCCCTGTGTCCTGGAAGGCCACGTAGAAGCCGCGCTGCGTGAGAGGGCCAAAGCTGCGCTCCTTGACGTTCAGCTGCAGCCCGACCCGCTGCCCAGTCCTGTGGAGGCCCACGGCCCATGTGGAGGAGGAGGAGGAGGCAGGGAAGCTCTCGTCTGCTGCGATGGTGTCCACCTTGGTCCACTGCCTGAGGTGCCAGGCAGGGCTGCTGTCAGGGGCATCGGGCTCCTCAGCCTGGCGGTAGTAGAGGGTGAAGGTCTCCCTGCAGGTGCCCCCGCTCACACCCAGGCTGTTGCAGGCTCTCACGGAGAAGTGTAGTCTGATGTGTACCCTCTGGGCCCCTCGCAGCTCCACAAAGTGCGTCTGCAGCCAGTTGTCCTGCCCAGTGCCTGTGGGGGCCCCTGCCACGTGGCACGCCTCGAAGGTCCTAGTCAGGCGGCGCTGGTCGTCCAGCACGCTCACCTCATCCCACTGCAGGGGCCGGAAGAAGGTTAGCTGGGCTGTGCAGGGAGGTTGGGTGACAATGAAGGGGAACTGTCTACTCTTTGGAGTAAATTAATGACAGGGAAGGCAAACAGGGGAGACCCTGAGATCCTCTTCTTCCAGAGACATGGAGTCTTAGCCTACCTAAGTACTCAGGGCTTCCTGCTTGCATCCTACATTTAAAGACCATGGAGAGGGACAGGGCTCCAACTGAAGAGTGGACTCACCCCACCTGGTGGGTAGGTGAGCCAGCCAATCTCAGAGGTCTCTCCTGTAGTGTCCAGCAGCACCTCTGCCAGAAAGAAAGGGACACCGTGCTAGCAGCAGCCAGTGCACCCCAAGGGAATCCAAAGAAAGTCCTTCCCTGGTCCATTTCACTTGGCAGCAGGAGCTTAGCTTCTGTCAGGAACCTGTCTCTGGAATACCTAATACAGGTCCCTCATGATCACCATGCCATCCCTTCTTTTGTGACTTCACTCTTTTCTTCCTTTAGGTAACCCTCCCCCTTCCCAACACTCTGGTCTCCACTGTGAGGTGGGGGAATCTGGCCTCTTCCTCCTTACCTTCCAGAGCCAGCACTGAGGGCACCAAGGTCAGGATGCACAGGCCACACACCATGCCTGCCACTCTGATCCTCCCCCTTGCCTCAAAGCTCAGTATCCATGGGACATCTTCAGGACTCCTACTATTTCCCTGGCCACCACCCTGCTCCAAAGCGGGGCTGTAGCATTCACAAGACTGGGGATCTGCAGCCACACTTGCTTCCTGGGGAGACATGCAGAGCCAGAGAGGCAGGGAAGAGGAAATGCCCTTTCATGTCCAACCCAGGTACCCAGATCTAGTGCTGTGTCCCCATAAACAGCTCTCAAACTCCCCAGGCACAGACCTTGGGCTGGGAGCATCAGGGACACAGGGTCTCTCATGAGTATGCTCTGCAAATTCCACCATCCTGGAGCCTCACAGGCCAGGCCACCTCCCACTCCCTGTGTGAGGGTTACTCTGTGTGGTTCTCTCTCCTGGCCTCCTCCTTAAAGAGGAACCCAGGTAACTCTGTCTCCTCCTTACCCCTTTCTTCTGGAAGGAGTGATTCCAGCTCTTTCTCTTCATTTACTCTCCTTCCTTCCTCCAGCAGTCACCTTTGTGGAAGTTAGAAATTTCCTCGCATCAGAGTTGGGGAGGGAGGTGGCTGCTGTGTGCTCACTGACACAGACTCTCCCTGCTTTCCTGCTCTCCTCCTTGGACTCTGGACAATGCAGTGAGGCACTGGAATGAAAGGGGCACAGAAAGATGCCTGTGGGGTAGGAAGGGAGGGGAATAGATGTAACACGCACACAGAAGTAAATATTCTGAAAGATGAGTAAGGAAAGCACTATGGAGGTCAGGCACACACACTCTGAACAAAAGCCCTCTCCCCCAAGGGGCTCATTCTTTCCTGTGATTTACAGAAAAATAAGCAAATGGCTTGAGGGGCTTGCTTGCATGGGGCTGCTGAGGGACTACGTGCCATTCTTCAGTGGCTTGGCTCTCAGGTCTTCCGGTGCATTCTTCAGGGAGCCAGGCGCCTGGGGCCTGACCCTCCGTTCTTTAGTGGCCAGGGCTGCCTGGGGCTCACGTGCCATACTTTAGGGGCTGGGGCAGCTGGGCCTGGGTTCCATAAGCAGCCTGAAGAGCAATATCCAGATCCTGACAACTGGGAAGAGCAGAAAGACCATGGTTCTGATTTTGGGAAAATGGCAGGGTGGTAAGCAGCAGAGAGAGGGCTTCTCCCAGGCTGGTGGCTTAGAATTCAAGCCCAGTGGGAGAAGGGAGTCACTATAATAAAGACTCAGCTGACTATAGCTACTGGTGAGTGGTTGGGATCAGAACCTCCTACCAGAACCCTGACTTGCTGTGCGGGAGGGACAACTTGAACCTGCTGCAGAACGCTGCAGAGTTCAAACCCACAGGAAGTCAGGGAGCTCAATTCTGGCCTCCAAACCAGAAACCAGACTGAATCTCAGTGGACTGCTGTTGGCTTACTGAGAATAAGTGACTCGGATCTGCACACTGCTTCCCACATTGTCTACAGGTAACAGCAGAGACACACCTCGAAGGTGACTTTTCTTTCTTTCTTTTTCTCTTTCCCTTTCTCCTTTTTTCCTCTTCATCAGCTCTTTTTCTTGTTCCTGTTTTTCCCTGTTTTGTTTTTTCTTGACTGTTCTTATTTCTATAAGAATATGAATAGTCTGTAGTTCTCCTTTTGCTGTTGGTTTGTTCTGTTCTTGCTTTTGTTCCTTCCTCCTCTCTTTCTCTCCTGTCTCTACCAGTTTCCCAAAGTTTATATGATCTTCTTGCATCCTCTAGCCCTACTTTTAATCTTTCTCTCTCCTTCTGTCCCCACCCCAGCTTGTTCTAAGTCTTCTTCCCAGAAAGTAAATTTGCTATACTGAAGGGAGTATTTACTGCAAATATATTTCTGGTTGGCCCTAGATTTTAGTATTTAACTTCAAGTCTAGTTCATGAGGTACAGGGTGACAGATAAACACCTACCACAATTTGTCATTTTCTTTTTCCTTTTCTGTTTTTCATTACCAGGGATTGAACTCGAGACCTTATACTTGCGAGGCAGGGAGCAGAACCACAGAGCTAAATCCCCAGCAACAACAATTTGTCATTTTCTAAGCTGTATCTGATGCTATTGTTGATGCTGATTGGGCCAAGGTGATGTGATGGCTTTGGTCAGTTGTTCTTCCTGGTATACCAAGACTGAGATTGCCTAAGGGCCATTGTAGACTAAAAACCTAAAGAGCAGCTATACCTGGAATACACCCCTGAGAATTAACCATCAAGGGTTCTAAACACTGGCAAGAAAGATATTCACAATAAACAATATAAAGCATCCAGCCAGGAATTTAACCCAAAACATTAACAACAACAAAATAGAAATGAGAAGACACCTGAACAAGATTCAAGTCCAGACTTCCAGATCACCAAAAGCAAGTCCAGGGGGCAAAGAGATTGAACAATCAATCCAGGAAGCTCTCATTTTATTTTTTTGAGGAATCTGAATACTGATTTCCTTAGTTGTCTTACCAGTTTACACTCCCACAAATAATGGAGAAGGGTTCCTTTTTCCCCACAGCCTTGCCAGCATGTGTTATTGTTTGATTTCTTGATGATAGTCATTCTTTCTGGAGTGGGATGGAATCTCAGTGTCATAATTTTCATTTCTTGAATGGCCAGAGATATGGAACATTTTTTTCATGTATTTGGCCATAGAGAAGAATCATCACGGGACATTTTATGTTAATAGATTCATTTTTAGATCATAATCTTAAGTAAAATAAATCAAATAAGTTAAAATATCACATTGCTTGTGTAGTAAAAGTATAAATAAGGAGCAAAAAGAGGACATACATTAAGAAGTAAGAAGAACCTGATTAAATAAGAAGGAACAAGAGACAGGGGAAATGGGTGGGAAGAAAGGGAAAACAGATTTTAAAAGAAAAGAATAAAGAATTAAAAGAAAAATAGAAATAGCTTTTGTAAATGGGGAGGGGAAGAAGGGTTGAAAGAATGGGAGGGAATTGGAAATTTAAAAATTAAGTTATATTATGCATGCGTACAAATTCTCCATGATAAATGTGATCATTATATATGGCAATCATGTACTAATATAGAGAGTAAAAGAGATATGTCACTGTGAACACATACCACACAGTTGGACTCAAGACGGTTATCTGTGCTATACATGCACAAAATTTTGCCCTTGTCATTATTCTGTAAGTAATAAGGTATCACAACTATTTACACAGCATTGACATTATATTGGGTATTATTAGTCATCTAGAGACAATTTAAAATGTGCAGGAGGATGTGAGGAAATTATACGCAAACATTGTGCTACTGCTCAAGAGGGACTTGAGCATCTGTGGGTTCTGATCCATGGGGTGTCTGGAACCCATCTCCCTCATTTATTTGAGGGATAGCTGTAGCTGGATCAAAGGTGACTTTGAAGGTCACAGTAAGGTACAAATGCGAAGAGGAGGAGGCTGCAGTATCTGATTTCAGCTGGCATGGGGTGTTCTGGAGCTCCGTGGAGGTTGCCCATCCTGACTGCCACTCCTTTTCCCCTGGCATTGTTTCTACCTAAGAGGAAAGGTGGGCATGCTGGGGGTTTTCCTATGGAAAAGTCCGTAGTTGTATAAATTCTTGTGGTTGAATCATCTGTGAAAACTAAGCCCTGCAAATACTGTGCAGTCCTACTTAGGTAATCACATGCCTGCACGCGTACGTGTCTGCTCCATAGGTAAAGTAATTGTGGCAGTTTAAAGATAGTCCAGCTCCAACTCTCTAACTAGCTGTTTTCCATGGAATCTGCTTCCTCCTTCCATAACCAGAAGTCTCAGCTGGAGGGAGGCAGACCCAAGTGCTGGCCGATGCCGCCTCCCCACCACATGACTGCTCTTTCCTTCACCTATGGCCCCTGCTCCAGACTTGCCTCCATTTCACAAGAAAAATCAAGAGGAGCAACAACAACAAACAAAAAAAACACAAACCAGAAGAATGACATAATCTAGTGCTAAGAGCCTGGACCTACATTCCTGGCCAAGTGTTCTTCCTTCTAACCCTGCATGATCTTCTGCCAATAGTTTGGCCCTATTGCCTCAGTTTGTTTTTCTGAAAAAATAGGACAATTACTTGGCCCAAAAAAGAGGGTAAAAGTGATAGTGAATGAGGTGTTGTTTTTGAAATTAGAAGCACATTTAACAAATTGATTATGTGATTTAAAAAATAGCAGTAAAAATGGCAGCACTCAGAGGGATTACGAACTTCTCAATAGAACTGAATCTACCAGGACATATCTTCAGGGCCGCCACACTGTGTCCCATTCCCAGCCCCATGTTCTGAGAGAATGCTTGCTGAGGAACCAATGGGACCCACGTGTACCCACACAGCCTCTCTGCACTCCCTTCCAACTCTGAATTACCATGGAGAACAAGGACAGAGAACTGTCTAATGGGTCCTGATTCACTGCTACCTCTGAGTCACTTGAACAAATCATTTCAGAGCTCCAGCCTTCTCTGTTACATGGACCGATGAACAGAGTAGACTCAATTTCTATATCTAAACAACAGGATGCATTCGATAGGGTCACAGGATCAGAGACCACAATGTCCTCTGTGGGATCTGAGCCTTCTGTGGGGGAGGAAAATCAGAGGATTCTAAAACTGCTCATTCCAAGAAGTGGAAGCTATGGAGTGAGAGAGATCAAGAATGCAGCACCAGTGCCAGGCCAAAGGTCTGGAAGCTCACCTTAAATTTGGCTGTGTGATTCTTCACTGAAAGGCTGAAAAAAGATAAATGGAAATGTGATAGGAGCCACCACCCCAGCATCTTTCAGATTCCTGGTGGTGCCACTCATCTCTGTAATCCTTCCAGAGATGTGGGTCACTATTTTCCTTGGGAGAGGCAACTCTAATGGCCTTCATTTTGTTTTTCCCAGTGTAGCCACTCTCACATCACAGTTTAGAGCACCAATAGGTACTAAGTGTATCCATTCCAGTTTTACACTCAGAAACTGGGGGCATGAAAGCAGGATGTGTTCAGTGACCTACTGGATGAACTGGGAGTCAGACCATGGCTAAAACTCCATTGATCATCTGACCCTGTGGGACCTTACTCTTACTGGAGGGGGCACAGTGATGTTTTCGATAGTCTTGCATCAGATTGGCATTAGTTCAGAGCCAGTGCCCAGTATCCCCAAAGTACTATATAATTATTCCAGTCAAAGGCTGAAGATCTCTTTGGGGAAGGATGGGAGGAAGATTGACTGTATAACTCTTTGGCCGTTCACCAGAGCTCTTCCTCAAGGGGACCTGATCTCCCTTTTATTCAAGGGATTCTGAGTCTGCAAATTAGCTCGTCTGGGAACTGGTTGAGGGATCATGATTCTCTGTTGCTACGATTTGACATAGATTTTTGTTCATTTGCTCTAAAATTTTTCTGTTTATATAAATTCAGTAAAAATGTAACAGGCTTCCTATCTCTCTCATTTCTGGGAACACCATAATTAAGTAGCCAACACCAGAGGTCCACATGTCAGAACAATCAGAGACTTGCTATGCTTCTACTGCCCAGTATAGCAAGTTTGCCCACCTTGTCTGTGGCAGGTCAGTGCTGCCACTCAGCCCCTTTGTGATTCGATTATATTCATGACACCTAGGTTTCCCAATTGAATGATTTTTGCCCACAACATAAGGACTGGCATACAGAGCAAATCTGTGATGGAGATATTCAAAGATGATATTGCTCTTCTTACAAGTCTGT